ACTTCTGTTCATTTCACAGTAATCAGAACTACCGTTACGCAAAAACAACTTCATGGTCCTTTCAGGGTTTTGTTTAATGAGAGGTCTTACTGTACTTTAGTCGCTGTAACTGATTAACCTTGTATTTACAGTGTAAAGAAGTGACATTCACATGATGACGAATTTCTCGAAGGAAAAAAGTAACATGTTACCCTTGTAGCTACCTGAAAAACGAATTGGTAGCAAGCAACGCATTGTTAGTAATTGTTCCCAGCCCCGAGCGGTGTAAATTGCATTGGTGTTTGCACTTTTTTCAGTCTGACGACAAGAGCTTACGGGTCTGGCGGACTCACGACTGGCAACAGGAGTGCATCATCACCGAGCCATTTGTGGAGGTGGGCCACTTTCTGCACTTTGCATCTTTACGCTTGCCGATTCTCATGCTCCTCCTGCAAAGTATTGATCCCCATTGATTGTGAAACTCGTTTCTGACTATGTTGTGTTGGGGCTTTATTTGCTTTTCCAAATTTATTTCAAGCTACGACGCTCAAACCTCATTATAACAAAGTTGCGTTAAAATAAGTGCATTATATCCAAAATGTTGTTATAATGATATATTCATAAACACTATGTCTATTGCAAGACAATTCTTCATTACTTTGTTATAACTCGATTATTTCGTTATATCCGTGCTTGTTCTATTGAGGTTTGAATGTACCGGAAGACTTTAAGTCCTTCAGCATCATATCGAACAACCTAATGCATTCCGAGTCTCTGGGGCACTGGTGGGGTCTTCGTCCGAATTTTTTTGAAACAGTTTGATCATTGCAAATCAGTTCTTTAGATGTCTGTGAGGTGTACAATATTGAAGGGGAAAAAGTTTTCACTGACCTGGTTGTAGCGCATCGCTTTAAATTAAAATTTATACAAAATTTGCTGGAAGCATAAAGCACTCCTACCTTATTTACTCGCGTAATCCTCGCACTCGCATAATTCTCGCACCCCCCCCATCGCCCACTAAAAATAGGATTTCTTTTTTTTTTTTTCGAGTGATTATCGCACCCCCCGGAACTGCCGCCAATAATGTCGTCTGCTCATTTCCAGCTACTGATGATAATAGCACGTGTCACACTGGCGCCATCTCTTAAGCATCAAGCGTACTATTACTGCACGGAGATTCATCCAAGCCAAACCAAAGTGGCAAGTGCGCATGCGGCGTGTTTTGTGTTGTTTAGGTAATCTTGTCACGTCGTGGGGCAATACTGAGCTACACGGCTGATTTCAAGTTGAAAGTGATAGATCATGCACTAACAACGGCAACAGGGCCGCTGGTAGGCCCTTCGAAGTCTACAAGTTTTGTGTTCGCTACTGTTGATGGCAGCTGAAAGCCACCAAGAGCGTTGGGCCTGCCATGTCCTAAAACTGGGATTGATCGTAAACTTTATTTCTTCAGAAGGAAACTGCAGACACTTCTATTAAATAGCCATCAGCCCAATATTGACGTCCTACGTTTACCTTTTGAGGGCTCCTGTTGCGCAACGAATACTACCGCTACGCCCGCAACACCCACAAGCTTTGCGTATGGTATTCTAATTCTCGACTATTTGCTTGCACTTTTAGTGTCTCAAATAAATCTTGCCTTGTCTTGAACCAGTGCTTTTAATGTTGAGGTAAGTTTTAATTAGTATTTCTCAAAGCTTGCTGTTAGTTGCTGGTGTGAGAATCCCAATTTGCGGCCATTTCGTTTTCTTTTTTGCACTGTACGTTTTCGTTGAAAGCTTTCCCTGCGTAATTCTCGCACCCCCCAACTTTGCATTGGTTTTCTGCTAAAAAAAGTGCGAGGATTATGCAAGTAAATACGGTATGTGATGAAAAATTTGCCTGGGTACAGTATTCGAACCTGAAATTGGACCTGTTCCAAAGCAATCACTCTACAGTCTGAGTAACCTAGAGGGTAGCTGAGAGCAGCGTGGCAACAAATTAATTTACAACATGAAGAAAAAACAAGTACGTATCATATAGTATTATAGTCGCACTGTCACACCATAGTATTATTAAACAAACTTGACTGTTTCATGCTTCAGTGTGTGTTCGGCCAAAATGCATCAGTTTGTATTTGTTGCAGTGCGGAGGAACCACCCACATCTTGCGGCTGAACTGGTCTCCTGACGGCCAGTACCTCGTCTCTGCACATGCCATGAACATGCTGGCCCTACTGCACAGATTGTGGAGCGCGACAACTGGCGAACCAACAAGGACTTTGTTGGCCACCGTAAAGCTGTCACATGTGTGGTAATGAACATTTTCTTCTGGAATGGCCGCAAGGTGCGCACTGAAAGGGGTGAAGAACTCTGGCTACTACCATAATGGATAATGTGCGGCTCTTTCACTACAAGGCGGGTGGAAACCAAGTTTGGCTTAAGAATTATGTTCGTAACACAGTTGAACCCCTTTATAATAGACCTGCTCCCGGGAGAAATTCTTGTCTCCTACATGAGGTTTCTCTTGTAAGCAGGGTACCACGTATGCATTTTCTTATCAACACCAATTTTAACACAGTCACGCTGGTGCCTCTTATACCGATTTGTCGGTTACAACAGTGCCTCTTATTAACGGTATGACTGTATACCCTTTTTATCAGCTGCTAGTGCCCTTCACTTTGCTGCACATTTGCCCAACGATCGTAAAATCTCGAGCACGCAGTAACCTTTAGTGAAAAATATTGCAACCTGATCAGCCTTAGCTTGGTCACAGATGAAAATACGAAATGGCCCGTGCTTGCAATGAAATCCTTTGTTGAATATGCATACATTCTCTGTCATTATTCACCCTATGTGGATAAAACAGTGGACGAAACGTCAGTGGTGGGAAACCTGCACCAACTGGAAATTGCTGCGCCATACTGCTCCAAAAGAGTTTTTTTTTTTGTATAATTTGCGCCATTTCTGCGCTACGAGGTTGTTTTGGAACCGAAGCAATATTGACAGCATGCATCGTAAGCGGATACCTAATACGTGATCATCGCCACGTTGTACTTGAACCGCTGCAAAAGCACGGCCGAGCGATTATTCCAACTTCCGCGTGTTTGCAGTGGTGCCTTTTCTAGTTACCATTGCCAAAGAACAAAAGCAATGTGGCGACTACCGAAAAGCGTGCCAGTATGACTTATCGCCAACAAAAAGCTTACGTGTGTGGCGTAGCGCTGCTTTATGCCTACTGCATGCTTTTAACAGCCGGTGGCTACCTGAGAGCGCTGAGGTGCTGATTGTTTTTGCCTCAATCGTTGTGCAGGACTGTGGTCAGCATGCACCGCTTTTGCAGAAATGAAAGCAGCTCGCTGTTGCGGAGTTGAGCGTTATGGATTTTGGGAGTCAAGACGGCAAGCGTAGCGCACTCTTTTATGAAGTGACAGCCTAAACGTGCCTCCGTCTGCTGCCAGGACCACTAGCCCATGCCCTTGAAAAAGCCCGCATCATCACATTAATGCAACACGCTCTCGCCACATCTGCGCACGGAGTGGACGCCAAGTAGGCAAAGCACTGCACATGCATTTAGCCAATAGACGATCAGCTCCCTGCGACTCTACCGAGTCTCAAATGAAATTGGTCACTAAGTTGCAGATCCTGGTACGCGTTCGCGGACAGCTGATTATGTCCGTTTCATCGCTATGTCAGTCTCAACATCGGCTGCGTATCCCAAACTCCGCAGTAGTTTCAAAATGCTCTTTTGTGTCATTACTGCGAGCCATCAAACAGTTGTGCGAAAATTCTAATCATATCTCAACACTGGCAAAAAGAAAGTAATGGCTTCGTGGTGGGCACTTTAGGCAATATTTGCTGTGGCACTGTATTTATGTCTTCTTTGGCGGGTATGGGGCACATAAATGCAAATTGGTACTTGGTCATAGGCATCCGCATGGGCGAGGACAAAGGAGTGGGGCTGAAAGCCAGCTCCATACAACAACATAACAGAGACGGGGGCGAGAGGGGGGGGGGCACAAAGCCAACTTTATACATTGACATTATAGGGAGGAGGGAGGTGCTGCGACCAACCTATGCCCCCCTCCCCTGAAGGGGAACTCTGCGCACACTTATGTACTTGATGGTTAAGACTAGCATGCTCCCGGCAGGTTCTTGGCATGTATGTACATATTAACGAGGTTTTACTGCAACGAACTTTGAATGTGTCTGTGTGTGCATGTGCTTGTTAGTGTGTGCACTGCTATGAACGTCATGCTACAGCTAGCTTGTTGGTGCAATATCCTTTAGTATTTAATGTCACTGCTTCTGTACATAATTGTACTTTTGTTTACTTTGTGGGCTTGCTGCTTCTGTATATATGATTATGTAAACTAAGGGAACATTAAATTAAAGCTATATCTTCTTCTTCTTCCGTGTGTGCTATGGGAAGCCTGTGCGTGCTACCAAACATGGAGATTTTGCCTGCTTCGAAATTCGGAAAGGCATTCCCACCACTGAAACGGTGAAAATGGCGCGGGGGGGGGGGGGGGGGGAGCGTGCTTAGGAATTGGTGCTTAGTTCAAATCTTCTGAAAAAAAAAAAGATCGCCAGCACTTTCACAACAAAAGCTGGAAGAGTGGCCTTTCAGAGCCCCCTTTTTTAACATTAACTCTTTGGGTAGCTGCTGCAAGCACGCTTGCAGGGTATCCACTATGCCATTAATCATTGTGTAGTAGGCAGGCACTTATTATACCATCTTTAGTCATTCTTTGAAAAGGCGTAATACCTGCTGCACACTTGGAAGTAACTTTGTGCAGTTTTTTTTCGTGCTGTGGCTGTGTGATGACGAATTATGCCAGAAGCTTTTGTAATCTCCTCAATCCCCTGCAGTGGGTATGCGCCATAGTTAATAGGTGGACAAGATCAAGCTTTTGTAAAGGGTAGAGAGCATTCGACGGCCCATTGTGCCATTTGCATTATGTGACACCTAGTTTCTTTGCTGCTCTAAAACGATTTATTACTCACATTAAGACGATTTCTTTCCCGACATCAAGCCTGCCTAAGGCCAGTTTGCAAAGGAGTTTCAAGCACCGGCATGGCTCTGTCGTAGACTACTAGGCTGGCACCAGGGGACCTGGATTCGAATCTCTTTGTGTCCTTGGTGTTATTTATTTACTGAGTTTTATTTTTCTTATTTTGTGCGATAATGGTTACGGGCAGCGCCGGCGGGAGACAACTACAGCTCTCACGCGACCCGCGTTGTGATCTCCTAACAGCTTTCGCTGTAAACAGAGAATTTGAACTGAGAACTTGTTAAAAATCGCGGGCACTTGCTCCGGATTTTGCAGTAATGGTGGCTTTTGTCATGCTTCAAGTGGAGCTTGCCTCGTAGAAGTGTTCATAATATTAGGTGCAGTACCTCCTACAAAAAAAGGTCTAGTGCAACCTATAAGAAACGTTCATTTTCCCCGCACCCGCAGTATGGAAAGAGTCAAGAGGCACTGTAGTGTTGCAGGAAACTGTCCTGCTGCAAGGGGTTCCTCAACCTTATGCGATTCTGATGCACTACCCTAGAGCTTTACCAGGTAGCCCATCAAAGACCCTTCCAGTGAAGAGGCGACAAAAACGAGACGTTTATTCACTCTGTTACATGACAAGTAGTCAAATGAGCATGCAGCTTTTCTGTGCAAGGCAAAAGGGAGGGACGCCATCACCGCTACAGGTTGTCAGAGTCTGCATCTATGTGCATAAGCTCTTCAGCACCCCATATTGGGGCTTCTTGCCATCAAAAGTTTTTGGCTTTCACGTGTAGTGCGTGGTAGAAGGGAACGGATAGCATTCTTCATGCTCCAATAACTGTACAAACAGGCATGCACTGCATATGCATACTGAAGCATGTGCACATGCTTGTGCAGTGATTTATAATCTTGAACAGCGTGAGCTTTCATGAAACAACACAGCCCACGTGCTCTGAGCAGGCTACTAAGAACACCAGAATGACAGCCAGAGCATGCTGTTTGCTTTTGATATGTACTAGCCGCAAGCACCAGGCATAGCCTGTTGGCAAGTGCCTGCTAGGCTCCCTCCCCTGTAGACGATAGGGTATGGAGCAGGGCCTGTAATTATTTTACAGTTGTGCAGTTATCTTGGCTGATGTGGATGAGGCTGGAAGTAGACACCCTTTTTTCGTGCTGCCACTCCTTCATGTTATAAGCTATCTCAGAGCACAGGCCATGCACTCGTATCTTTCCTGTTCTAACGGACCGCTTTTAAGATATTTAAAACAGTGCAGAGGGCATCATGGCTTCCAGGCGTCTCTCGGTGGCAAATTTCTGCCAGGCTATGTCTTGTGTGAGACGCTTCTGCGAGAGTGTGATATCAGCCGCACTATATAATGGCCTTTTATTTAAGGCGGAGTTTTCAAATCTTGCTTTTTCATCAGTTTTCTGAATGAAACATCCCGTTGTTTTTCATTTTGTAGAGATTCAACCCGCACATCCGATCAAGAGTCAACAAGGACAACAACAAGGTGCTCGTTGCATGACTCTCACCTTCATGAATAATTTTTTTTAAAATTTCACTATCTGCGTTTCACCCACTCCCTTTTACTTCTATCATAGTGGTAACGAAATTGTACAAAGCAACACGGCTGGGCGTCATTTTTTCAGACACAGACCTTTTGCTGCTGTGCCATTGGAAGTCGGGACAGGTCCCTGTCTGTCTGGGTGAGTGAACTATATGGTCAGCATAAAATACTTAATTAGTATCTCTTTTTTCTTGTGATTTTCAGCTTAACTGATGCCCAACTATCGGTTTATTGGTGTGCATTTGTGTCCGGCCTTTCATTGCAGCTAACCTGTCTGAAGAGGCCTCTCGTTGTGGTGCATGACCTCTTCTCCAACTCAGTGTTGGACATATCTTGGTACGTCGATGTTCGAAGAGTCATTGCGTTGGCGTAGTTCTGCGAGATTTAGTGCTTGCTGTATACTTCATGCCTACGTTGGTACAGTACCCACGCCCTTGTTAGGGAAACTAAAGGTTTGGAAATTTCCAGATCTGTGCAAATAGCAAAATTTTGGTGAGAAACAAGTTTGAGTGCGAATTGCATAGAATAATTTTCGAATACTTCGAAATGAAGTACCGTATTTACTGTAACGTCTCGCCAGTATTTTTTTAGATTTCTGTGACCTGAAGCTGGCCCATGCAATACAGCCAAATACTGTGGAGTCTCAATGATACAAATTCATAGAGAGCACACAAAATGTTCGTATCATCCCGAATTCGTATAAACCGTAACAACCTAAAGCTTATCATGAAAAGGAACAAGAAATTAATTGGCGTGAACTGCTCCTTGCTGAAAACGTTCGTGATGTTCTTTTGAACTTTTCTGCCTTCGCTGTCTCCCAAGAAAGTCTCTGGAAAGGAGTAAAACCGTGTTGTGGTTTTTTCACTCAGGCTGCTCAAAGGGAGAGAAAGTGCAAAATTCAGTGAAAGTTCACTCGCTTTGCCGCCTAAGCGGCTAGAAAACCATGCTGCAATGTTGACACGAAATAAATCAGTCCTGGAGCACTCACATTTGAGATGTGAAGTAATTACAAAAATACCAGAGCGGCCGGAAAACCATATCCACGTACGTCCAAAGTGTTCACATTTGTTGTGCCCCTCGAACGCGCCACTGCTGCCGCCTTCGCCACTTTGAGAATTCATTACATTTTTCCCTTTTGTTGGCATTAAAATTCTTACCGAGTTCTAGTTGGGCATGCACAGCACTGAAAAGAAACAGTTTGCATCTTCATAAACATTGTTTTGGGAGATATGCCAGCAGAAACAAGACAAATGGTCGCATCGGCACTGGTGGTGACGAATTCAGCTGGCTGTGCAAAAGGGGGGCACATTGGCGCATGCCGACTCACTGCTGCTGCACCTCTTCCTACCTCAGTTGCTCCAGCGATCATAATCAAAGTCAGGCTCACGATGAAAGTGTCTCTGTTGAGGCTGTGAGCTTTGTCGGGCTGCGCAGGCAGTTTGCGGTTGTACCCGATGCAAGCTACCGTCGACGCTTTTGCCGCTATTTGAATTTGTGGCCAGTTGTATAGATGACGTGGTTTGAGCCGTGCCGTGAAGCGTAAAGGTGATTTGCTATCGCGTGACGGAAAAACTTGTATTGCACTTATTTTTTCGCGTCGGCCTCGGGGTGTGGTTTTTCGACCATTTAGGTGGCAAAGCGAGAGAAATTCCAGTACGTTTTGCTGAATTCGCTTCTTTTTCTTTTTTTTTTTCTACCGAGCAGTCATGTTGCTTTTTCTAGTAAACAATAAACACTATATTTTCTAACACAAGTGAGTGGAAACATCCTTTAGTCTGGTCTGACTGCGTATATGTAATTTCTAGCATAACGGTAAGCATTCAAGTGTCCAGCAGTTTTACTGTATAGGCAGAAGTATTGTTTTTATGAGCTAGGAGTTTCTTCACTGTTTACGCTTCATAGCTATCAGTGATCTGTTTGTCTCGTGAATGTATCCGGAATTTGTATTTCAGGAGTCAAGAAGGCAACCAGCTACTGGTGTGCTCCTGGGATGGCACTGTGGCCTATATCGACTTCACTGAGGAGGAAATCGGGGTGCCGATTAGTCCTGAGGAACGAGTAAGGAAACACCGGGCTTGTATAGCATACGTAGCTCAACAAGAAAATGGTTTTGTTTATTGGACTTTACCTTAAGATAGGGTTGGTAGGTGTATAAAATGTAGCAGTGAACCCAGAACAGAGGAGGCTCTCGGTAAACAAAAATGTCGTGAGCTACTTATTCAAGTAGTCATTGAATGACATTAATATCAGAATTTATTGCCACACGAATCGATTGGGGTGAAAATTTCCCGAATCCATAAAAAGTGAGACAAGTTATAAGGATTAGCCACCTGTTTTACGCTCTCTCTCATCTCATGTCCCGACGAGAGTACTGGGTGCCAGCAGGGAAGGATGGCCTGGAGTTAAGTAGGTGACTTGCATGAAAAATGCAATCACACTCTCACATTATTTTTTTGTGCCAGTGTGAATCACCCTGTAAGGTTAGCAGCACACTATCTAACTCTGCATGGTAGCACCTTGTGGCAAGAAGCACGTCTGACGCAAACACTGCACCGTATGTTCACTGTTGGGCAATAGCATGCTACTTACTACTCGATGTCAAGCAGGGGGTGCCATCAGCTTTGTGTCGTGAGCAGAGCCCAGTGTATGAAAAAAGGGTGTCTGAGAAAATGGAAACTTCACGCTGCTCTTCTAAGCTGTGCTTACCATGCACAACTGCAAGATTTACAGTCCAATATCACTGTAACAAAGTACGCTACAACAAAATATCTGCCACGACAAATAATTTTCGATTCCCCGTCAGCTGCCCATAGAAAACAATGTAAAAACTGTCTCGTCACAACCAATACTTTGTAGTGATACTTACAACGAAGTTTTGGCGAGTGCTGCCGTCTAAGAAAAAGGTACTCTCCAAGGATTGTCACGAAATTCCGCTACCAGCTCGGTCACTTCTCGTTAGTCATGACATCCAAAGCGCGCGGCCGCATCGCAACACCTGTATTTTCATTGGAGACACATTTTCTGCCACCACATGCGCATCCTGGTAAGTTTTTCATCATTAGAATCTCGGCAACAGGTTGCGTAACCATCATGCTGCTGCCGGTGGGTTTTACTGCACATGCGGGCTGCGGCAGAATTGGTCTTCAAGAACACCTGCCATGTTTTTGACTTCGTGCTTAAAAAACAACTACAGCTTGTCGTCACCAGCCTAGGGATCGTGAATGACATCGACAGCGTTACGATGGCACTTGAAAGGCCAGCGCGCACCTAGTACAAGTTTAACTACATTCTGCCACAACCGCTGCGAATACAAATGACGGGCAACCACGAAAGTATGTGCGTTGACTCGACCGAGTACTGCTTGTGCAATGCTGCATACAAAACCGCATCAATGTGAATAAATACAGCAATGACGCAATTCTGAAGCCAAGCACATGGCCAGAGCAGCACCCCCCAGATCGAAAACGGAACTGCCATTTGCCGCTACAGCATGCACTTGCTTGGACCGAAGAACGAGTCATAATCATATCAGATCTTACTAAATTTTGTGACCTATAGATGAAATATTTAGGCTTGTGCGAATTGTGAATTTTAGGTTCGAAGTGAATAGTGATTTTGATCAAATAATTTTGAATCGAATGGTATGTATGACATAAAAAAGAGGGGAATATTTATCTTGACCTAACTAACCTACACAATATTTCTGTTGAATAGGGGCTGTATGCAAAAGCCATTTTATTTTTCTTTCAAACGTAGTCGAAACAAACTTGAGTAGTAGTTTCAGTAGGATGCGAGAGATAACGTGTAAGGTACTTAATGTTTTGAAATTTATCATACTTGGAGCATATAAGCAATCATAACAAGCTTAATAAAATGAAGAATTGATTTTAGAGTAATCTCGTCCTTTAAAGGGGCCCTGCAACACTTTTTCAAGAAGCCATGGAGCCAGTATACATGCTTGTCGCCTCACAAATTTACCACTGCAAAGTTTCTAGAATCAATTCAGTACAAGCAGGGTTCCACAAATTTGTCGCATGCTGCAATTGCATTCTCTCTTCTCGTCCCGACGAAATAGCCGGAAGCTAAGCAGGGAGGAATGGTACAGCTAAAGAAAATACGTTGCACGCACCTCGTGACCTTGAGCACCTTTTTTTTTTTTTTTTCGAATACGTGGCTTTTCAGTGTGATCGCGCATGTACTCTTGGACAAGCGGCGGCCTCCCGTGGCGGCCCCGGTAACGACAAGCGTGGCATGCTCAAATCAGCCAATGGCTGTGACCAGAGCCGTATTCGCGACTCCAGCAATTCATGCCGCACCTTGCGGCAATATAGGGAAGCTGCGTACTGAGGTCCAAACAGTCCAAGCGCCAGTCGTGTACAGTAGGAGCACGGTAAGATGGTGCCGCCCGTGAACAACAAACGAACGGCCAAGCAGATTTCTTCTTTCCAGGTGAGGCACCAGTGTTAACTTGTTAACTCGAACCTATTTAATGACCATTGTTTTTAGTGACTACATGTCACAGTGGCGCCCGAGGTATGTAAACAAATTTCGCAGAGACGCGGTGCGCCATGTGCATTACACACACAACGCTACCACTTCAAGAACGCCGCTCGCGTTCGCGGGACCAAAATAAGATGCTCCGCGTCAACAACCCGCTCCCTTTCTACAAAGCAGCGCAATCTGCAATCACGCTGCAGAAAACTCAATATTTGTGTTAGCGATAGCGGGCGCGGTGACCTCCGTGAATCCGCGATGCTGCTGCTGCGCAGCGCCCTCTCATGTTCATTTGAGTTGCCAATATTCCTTCTTGGCTGTGACAAGTGATTTTCGGGCTTGTGGTGTCATTTGCCGAGGGAAGAAAGAAATTTTTAGCTTTGATAATTTAGTGTGAATTACAGGCCGCGGGCTGCGCTGTAATATTTGCCTCGCGTGTTCTCGGTAGCCTCGACTACTGATCGGCAGCGTTTTCTGAGCATGCTCATAAGTGTTGCAGGGCCCCTTTAAATTTAAAAGGGGGCTTCGCGGCAAAGTGAGTTTCCGCTGAATAGGTGCTTTCACAACTTAGCACCCCTACCACGGAGAAAGAAAATACTTCTTGCTCCGTGACCCCTACATTGCAGTGAAACCGTCTTTGCAGGTGGTTACATGCGGATTAATATACACCTATTCGTTTATTGCGAATACTTCGAAAATATTCGATAATTTAAATTCGAATCTAAGTGATTTCGAATACTCAACTATTCTTTCGAATAATCGAAGCATTCGAATACTCGCACAAGCCTAGAAATATTGCTACGATGAAATTCTGTCACAGTGAAAGTTCTCACGTGTCCCGTCAATTCCGTTGTAGCGTGATATGACTGTAGCTGAAATCTTTATGCACTCATACCTCGATATACCGAAAGATCGCTAATAATGAAGTAAATAAAAAATAACATTGCAATAGATATACTGTTAAGGATAAATTTAAAATGAATTCTTAGATATAATGAACAGATTTTAGTGTAAGGTGCAACTTTGTTATGAAGTTTGATTGTAGCAGTGTCTGCTATCTGCAGGATGTGTTTTTTCACCGAGCCTGAGAGATGGTTCATGACGCTTTTATTGCGATAGCAATTATATGAACACTCTTGACTGATTTTCGCCATGGCCGTCATGTCCCGGATATATATATATATATATATATATATATATATATATATATATATATATATATATATATATATATATATATATATATATATATATATATGGCACCGGTAAATCTGATGAAAAAAAATTAAAGGTACCCCACCGGAGATTCGAACCAGCGATGCCTCGCTCCTCAGCATGCTGCGCTAAACCACTAGGCCGCATGGCTCATGCTATGTATATCACTAGCAGTGAGCTACAGTTAAACATGGATATAACGAAATTGATAAATTCCCGGGAAAATATTTGTTATAAAGAGGTTATCGTTATATGCAGGTTCGGTACGAAGATTCGGAAATAAACGCACAAATTAAACAAAAGGGCGACTGAAGGCAGAGCTAACCCCAAACACTCATTTTACAGTAAAAAGCTGCGTTATTGCGATAACAATTATATGGACACTCTCGGCGGGTTCTTGCTCTCGCCGCCATGGTTCGCAACAAGTCTAAATTGACAACATGCCTCCGCGCATTGTAACGTTCACAAGCGGGTAACAGTGCTCGAGCGCTGCTGAAGCAGAGATCACATGAGTCAGCCCATCCCTATAGCCTGGAAAGTGCATAACATCTGCCGCGTGTTAGAACTGCCATCGAATGCTAAAACTGAAGGTAAACTACCTGTCTTAAACGAGCATGAAACAACATAGGGAGGGGGGCGGGGGAATTGCTCAAGTAGCAATAATGACGATAGTTATAGCGCGAGAACAAAACGACGACACAGAGACAAGAAGGACACGAGCGCTCGTGTCTTTTGTGTCCTTCTTGTCTCTGTGTCGTCGTTTTGTTCTCGCGCTATAACTATCGTCATGCCATACCAACTAGCACAAGCTGCCACACTTCTAAGTTAGCAATAATGAACTTAGATTTTAAGGGCGGTCGCGATTGCTGGTGCGCTTGCTATCTCGGCGAGTATCAATGCGGTTTCAACGCGAGGGGACTGTGTGAAAAGAGCAAGCGGAATCGTTTGAGTCAAAGTCGAAGCACGCGATTCTCCCCACCGAAGGATGAGCGCACAAGCATCTAACCCCCCCCTCCCCCCTCCGCATTCGCGGGGCAAAGTACCCGCGCGAGAGATAAGCGCCCGTCGGCACTTCGTGACGAGCTGAGCGCCGAGCGTGGGCGGCTTTTTTTTCCTTGAGTTTTCATATATATATATATATATATATATATATATGTATATATTGATATCGCAATAAAAAAATTGGCCCCGTATCTGCATGTTAATCTCCAAATGTCGTCGAAAGACGATAGCGTGTGGAGAGAGTGAACAATTTATTTGATGTTATGCGCAAGAAAAGGGTGAGTGGTATTCTGGAGGCGCTGCGTTAGAGTACCTCGAGCGTGCAGCGGAGGCAAACGAGCGCATCAAGTCGCGTCACACGTTAGAGTTACTGTATATGCTACCTTTAGGTAGCAGAGTTGCGCCACTGTTTTCTGGGCGCCGCTCGCTCCGCCTGCAGGAGTTCAGTGCCCCTATTCGCTGAGCGCAATCACGTGGTCATAAGTGGTTCAACTGCACTGCAGAGAAGCCAACGCTACGATGATTCGGGGCAGATCAAGCTTTGTTGACATCGGCTGTGGTTATTCTCACCGCACTTCTTAGGTACTGTAATCATGTTGGTCGGGAGAAATGTGGTATCAAGTGCATTCTGTGGTAAATTGTACTACTTACAGACCATGTGTAGATGCGGGTGTTTCTAGAGAAAGATTAGTGTTCAGTGAGGAAGGAATAAATGTTTGATTTCTTTTTATCTATCCATGGCACTGCAAACTTGTTAAATTTTTATTGCCCTCAGATGCAGTGATTACGTTATACATGCGGAGTTGGTCAGCGTGTGTCGGCTGCATACGTCCCAATTGGTCTGACTGCTATAACACCACAAATAAAGGAAGAATAAGTTAAACTATACTTATTCAAATCGGCGAGGTGTTGCAGCTAGCGCATGAATTACGTGAATTCAATGCCGCTTTCAAACCTTATGCGAAGAAATGTTGGGAGCCACAGGGCTGTTGAACAACGATTCACATCAATTAACTGTCGTGAGCCGCGATTGTAATACAAGCGTAATAAAGAGCCGCATGGGCGTCACACGGATACTCTCGATCTCTATCCAGCTCGATTCAGTTGAAGGCGGTAAAACTACACCTGTCTCCCTCACACAGTTAACGAATGAGTCCAACACGATGAAAAAATTTCATCCCTAACTGGTTCGGTCGCGATCAAAAAGTGCGAAAATAATTTCGTATTTGTAATTGAAAAAAAGAAGCACTGGAAAAGAAGACAAAGCTAGTGTAACCAGCCATAAATAAAAAGCTAGTATAAACCAACCATCTTAATGGTTCAACGAGCCGAAGCCCTTTGTTCTATTATTACATACCAAGAGCGTAAGCATCAAATCAAGGCTTCTAAGCGTGATGGGGCAACCGAGTTTTACTCATAACATTAAAAAAATAGAAAGAAAGTGAAAAAATAAAGCCACGGAAATACTATAGTCCCTCAATATTGAGGGACAATGTAGCACTCTGAAGCGCGAGCATTGCTCCTACGTGGGTGCGAGTGGCTTTCCCGCAAGACTTTTGAACCCAAGATGGCGTACCTTGGCGCAACTCTGCTACCTAAAGGTAGCATATACAGTAATTCTATCACACGTGAGACATGAGCGCCATCTGGCAGTTTTCTCGGACAACGAAGCGCGTGGCTCTGAGGCGGGCGCGGTAATAAAGTGTAGAACGCATGGCGACGGGTAGGTGCCATCACCGTCTCGTCTTAGCAAAGCGTTGGAAACACTCGCCTTTTCGTGCAAGTGTTGCATGGTCAGCAGTGTGATAAGCGCTACGGTCCTTAAAATTACTTATGTATGCCTTTTCTAGTAAAAGATCCACACGCAGAATATATACGTGTTGTTATGGTGCCCCAGACATGTGCAATAATTGCTTATTAATTGACAATTGCACAAGTATGAACGCTGAATCTTGAGCAACATTTGTGGGTGCTGTGGTTGGGGTCGGCCGTTTAGGTAGCCGGTGCCGTTAAGAGTAGACAGACAAATGTACAGACAGACAGACAAAAATTTTTGCGTTGAAGGTCCCCAAGAAAGACTATCGTCTTTAAAAAAAGCAAAGCTGAACGTCGTCAGGGGGCACACCATGCGCGCGCAGTGAAACTATGCACGCGCGCACAGCGTCGAAAACGAAGAGCGAACGACACAGACAGGGTTACCGCGGAAACTATTCCGTAAAGCACCCTCCATATGCAGCGCGGCCCCACATATGCGACGCTAACTAAAAGCGTGGCACTGCCAACGTGCAAAAGTAGTTTTTATATTATTTTGGTTCGGGTGGGGAGGGGGCACACTCGCGCATGCGACCGCTGCGGCGAGAAAGGCGCGACGCCGGCTCGTAAGGTGCAGGCCCACCTCACGCGGACGCGGCCCGCCGCCCAGCGGGGCAGCGGCTGAAAATGCATGCTGGTACCAAAATGCCGAAATGCGGAGCAAAATTGCAAGATTGTTCGTGGAGAAAATTCGTTATATCAAGGTTGTCTCCCGCAGTTACTTTGTTACATAGAGATTAGAAATACATGTGCTCCTATGGAGCGATGGCGGGGATTAGAAAAACTTCGATTATGCAGGAGTTATATGGAGGCTCGTTATAAGCAGGTTTAACTGTATATATTTACACCATTTACAACAAGTTAGCTGTCGGTAGATTTCAGAGAAACATTCTAGAACAAAGCTCGTATGTCTCGCTTGTAGTTATGCAGTTATGCATTAACTGCTGGTTTTTATGGCCAAATACCCCGTGGTGGGTGGAAGGCATATATAAAGGAACAAGCAAGTAAACAAGCTTCTCCCACCATCCATCTCCTTCCGGCATCGACACCCACACTGCGATATCTGGGACAATCAGAGGTGGAGGTTTAATGAAGTGCATTGGAACTGTACTTTTCGCTACCGTCACCGGCATTGTCAACGTTGACTAATGCCAAGGAAGGAAACGCCGGGCAAACGCTGGCAAAAACGCTGTATGTAGTTTGGCCTTTGTGATACCACCACATGTTGTACAAACACCTGTGGAACAGCTCCAACAGAATGCTAGTACATTAGAACACCGCCACAACGAAACTGACTGGGGGTGGAAAAAATTTCGTTGTAGTGAAATAAAAAAAAAAATAACTGATTTGAGCTAGCAAAACAAACGAACGTTTATTCTCAGAATTAAAAAAATGTCCACTGCTTCCTATTCTTTCCCAGTAACATTGCGACGTGATTGTCAGCCATGCATAGCGACGCCACGTTGAAAAAACACTCTGAAACAACGCCTAAAACCGCCTTCGTGAACGAACCAAACAGCTGCATTAACACGTTCACACCAGCAGCTGTCCGCCGTCAAAAGTACCCGACAGCGCCGAGATGAAGGCAGGGTATTATGGAGCGGCGACTTTTCCATTATTCTATGCCATTTTTGTCATCCATCACTCGCGGTTATGTAGCTGATTTTGTTGATAATGCAGACAAACAGCCGCTCTGATTAGTTACCAAACTGGCCAAGCGCGAACATAATAATAAGCATTGGAATCAGAAAGGGCTTCAGTTGCACCCAGCAGCTGCGTGACGGAAACCATGAACTGAGCGACTGAGCTTCAGCTTTGGGTTTTCTGCGGCTCAAACCAAGCCAGTGGCAAAAGCAGGGCAGTCTTATTGCCATCACTATTGAGCAATGGCGGCCCCCATGCTTGCTGAACAGCCGCGGTTGCTGGTGGTGCCAACGCGTGTTTTATACTTCGTTGACGCATTTTCAGGCTCTGAAAATCCATTGAAATGCTAAAGATTGGGTTTACTGCATAAAAGTAAGTGTCTGAGCCTGGACACCGTAAAATTTAGTTGAAGCGGGACTATCAAAGAAAAAGTGTTCATTGTGGTGACAATATTTATGCATTGACTCCTATGGACTGCTGGCGGGGAATCGTGAATTTTTCATTGTAGCGAAAATTTCGTTGAAGCGGCGTTTGTTGTAGCGGAGTTTGACTGTAGTATTGAAACAAGGCGGCTCGCATACTTGCCCGGACATAAGAACGTGCTGCTGCACATGCTAGAATCGCTGCAGCTCAAGGCATATTCCACAGTGTTCACTAAATTTCCTAAATGGTTCTTAAATGCCCTAGCCTTACTTCGTATAACAGTGTGATGTGTTGCTATCACAATCATTGCTTCGGCCTTGTACCGAAACTGTGAGTTTTTTAAAATTCAGTTGTCTTTTTTTCTTAGATTCGATGATGTGTTAAGGAATACAGATGACGCATTTGATAAATACTAAATTTTTGTGATTATTGGACTATGTAGGCGTCTAAGATCTTGGCTGGGGCCAGGCTTTAGTGATATTATAAAGTAGACTCGTTAAAGAAAACCTGCAGGGACCACCCATATGTGTTCTGTTTAAGAGGAGTTCCGTTTACTGAGAGAGGAGCAGGGGCGCAGACTCCTAGAATAAAAGCAATGATGTTGAGGACATGATCTATTTCAGTAACAGTGTCATTTAAAAGATTTATAGGAACAAGAAACAGGGTTCTATTATTTTGAGACTTTTCATTGTATATTTGTATCTCCGACACTGCTGCTGCCCTGACAGAACGTGTGGCACCAGAAATTGTATGGCAAAAGCTTATCGGGTCCGGGGAGCCAGCAGCGGCAGTCGGGCACCACCCTGGTTGAAGACCCCGAGGTTTTGAAGGCCCAGGAGCAATACTCGAAAGCGCAGCAGCAGCAGAGGACGGTGGCTTCAACCCTAACCAAAGAAGTCAATGGTGTCACACCTTCGGCGAGCCCAGCTACAGCTACGAGCAATGCGCCTATGAGTTCAGCAAACTCGGTGGTGCGTCCCATCAACACCAACAGCAACAGCAGCCGCCCGATGTCACACATCAAGGTGATGCAATGCAGAGGTGCCGTTTGAGGTAAAGTGTGGGATTGGGCTAGTTGGTAATCCATTGTTAAAGTTCTAAGTGCAAAAATTTTCACACAACAAGCGCAAGAGACGTGGACGAGCGCAGACTTTCAACTGATTTATTACGGGGTTTCTCGAGGTGGGGGGGGGGGAGCAGTCTCTTTTAGCTTTTTGGTTTTGTGTGTGTTTTATGCATAAGCATGTGATTCTATCTTCTTTTCTGTAACGTATACTTTTGCCTATATGGATGTGAATATGCTTGAGGCACGTGTACTTAGATTTAGGTGCTCATTTTAAGAACCTCGGGTGGTCAAAATTATCTGACCCCTTCTCTATAGTGCCTCTCATAATCATATCATGGTTTTGGGACATTTGAACAATTATTGTGAAATGTCCTGTTAACGACACCAAAATGCGGACGTGATGAAGCATACTTATTCTTGCGCAGCGTGCAACAAAAAAACACATGAGAGTGCTTGTCCAGTGTCCTCTTTCATGTTTTGTCTTGTTGTGCACTGCCAAAAAACATATATGTCCAGTTAGGTTTTGTATAACGCATAACGAATATGTGCACGTTTTTGGTGGTGACAGACTCTTCATGGCTTGCTTCCGAGGTGCAATTGCCCGTATGAGGTTCTAGGACCGACGCTCACTCGTCCAATCATTAACAATAGTGAAGGTCTGTCCGTGGAGCAAGAAAGCATTGATAAAAGAGGGTCTTACCTCTCATTGCTTTAGCAAATCATGTTTTTAGGCGGAAATGTTGTAGGCCCGTGTACTCGGATTTGGGTGCACGTTAAAGAACCCCAGGTGGTCGAAATTTCCGGAGCCCTCCACTACGGCGTCTCTCATAATCATATGGTGGTTTTGGGACGCTAAACCCCACAAATCAATCAGCAAATCATGTTTAAACCAGAGATAAATATCCACACGGGGAAAGTCGGGCGCTGGTGTAGAAGGTAAGGAGCGTGTGATTTATAGGTGTTCGACAAGTGTCCAACTGTTAATCGGACACGCGTCTTTCTGTCATAGCATTCGTATTTCCTGCAAAGCTCCAGTTGCAAAAGCAGCAGGAAATACAGCCTTTTCTTTCTTAATTAATGCTGTGTGTTGTCCTACTGATAGTTGACCGCTGCAATCAGTGAACTGACGAAAACGGGTAGTGTCTGAAAGCCACTCTCGTCTGTGAAGGCGTACAATTCAACTCGGCACCACTTTCACCTTTTGTTCTCTGTTAACTACGGATTCTTTGTCTTTAGTGACTGTATTCGATGTTAAAACTGCGCTTCACACCTCGGCGTTCATATGTTGCAGGTAGTAACATTTATCACCTTGTGGATGAGCAAGGAATGTTTAACCAATAATTCCTTCCCGCCACCTTGCTCTTGATACAGGGCCCCACTGACAAGCAAATAGAAACGAGAATGCCCGACGGGCGTCGCCGGATTACACCGCTCTTCATTCCTCCTGATCCTGAAGTCGGGTGAGTACTGATCGGTGCCTTTGAGGCATGAAGAAGCAACTGAGACCGGCAAGGCCTCTGTGCTTGCTTGCAGTTTCTCGTTGATAGTATTTGTTGTGAGACGTTTACAATGCAGAGCCTTGCTGCAATGAAGTTGGCAGAATGTAAGAACAAGCAAGAATCAAAGAACAAAAAATAAGGATGAGACCCATTAGCGAATCAAAATACTTCAACTGTAATTGCTCACATATAGACATCAAAAAAAGGTCTTCTTCACTTCAGGGCTCATTAACTGGCATTTCTCCATTCTAAGCAGCCTTGTAACCAAAAAAATGATATGAGTCAGCACTGAAAAAAAAATAAACACCCTTCATATGTAAAAAGCAGCAGTCTTGAAAATGAATTTTTCATTGGACTTCTTTCAATCAAAACCTGAAGGCACCAGGAAAATGTGTTTTGTTTAACAGGATTTTTATTTACTGCGAGATAGACTGCGGTGAAGAATTGAAATGCAAAACCAATGATATTAGAGGCAGTTGTTTCAGTTATGCAGCGACTTCGTGTAAGAAAGTTTCATTTATTCACAGTGCGCTTCATACTAAGGAAGTCTTCTCATTGGCTTGTTCTTCAGTTTATCCTAGATATATGAAACTTACCCGTATCTTTATACAGTTTATACGTTTGTATAGCACTTAACTTGCCTTCTTGGAAATCCCGTTAAAAAGTAAAGAGCCATATAAAATGAGTATCACACTCCTATGCACAGCAGCATTCGATGTATAGATTACCGTGCTACATCTCTGTGCGCATGCTTTTCCCTAGCAAGCATGCTACCACATCTTACTTATGTTAATGCTGACAATTTCAGAGTGTTACAGTTTTGCCAAATGTTGTCAGATGAAGTTATGGCGTCTGAAGGGCAGTCCATTCGGTAGGAGAAAAATTATGGATGTGTGCATCTAAAAGTATTCACTACTTTGTCAAAAAGATTGGTATGGTATTGTCGGATCATTCTAGAGTAAAACTATGTATCTGCTTCAAGCATACTAACGGTTAAAGCGTAGTTGTGGTGAATTGACACCGCTAGTGGCCTGAAAGTGGCAGTGTGAGCCAAGAAGTGATAGTTTGCACGAAACTAAACAGGTATGATAGGCTCCACACAGCAATTTGGTGCATCGCAGTGGTATGTCGGCTATCGTGCAATAGCAGATTGTGGTACAGACGTGCATCCGTGTATCTCAGAAAGCCGATAGGTGTGTTTGCTCCTGTGCAATGCATGTCGCTGTGTGTTCCCGTACCACCTGATACTCGTTTCGAATCGCTCCTTTGCGTTGCCACCGTGTGCAGTCGGAGAGTGGTCTTACGAGAGAGCTGGAATTGGCACTTTAACAAAAAGGAAATAAAAGCTCTGTAATGGTGCTTTTAGGAAACATTTGATCTGGCATCGCAGTTTTTTCTTGAATCTTGAAGCATCAGCACATGCTAGGAGATACAAAGTTGTGCTCGGTATACTCTGGTACAGTTGATACCCGCAATAACGAAATGGGTGGGGAAAGCACAAAATTTCAGTCTTACGGCAATTTCGTTGGCGAGAGAATGCGGCAGAAAAGACATAGAATTTTCAAAAAAAACATTTTATTTCCAAAAGTCAGCAAGTTTACTTTGGTGGGCCTTACCATGCAGCAATTTCATGCCTCTCGACTCACACTGTAAGAAATACTCCATCGTCACGTTGTTGTCGTGCTTGCCGAAAAACGTGGGAATTGTGTCGAAGGCATTCAGCACTTCCTCTAACTTGTTGTTTTCTCTGGCTGCTCTGGTCGTTGCACATAGGGATTGGCCGCCTCGTACACGCTACTGACTATGGCTTCACCAGTCACTTCTTTGTGCACGACGCCGCCTTCATCTGCGCAAACGAACTCATGGACGCTGAGGCCATCGGGAATCTCGTTTGCCACGGCACAAAGTTCGCCCCATGCACTGGTCAGTGACGGCGGCACTGCGCTGTTACCAGTACAGTCATCAAGTGCGCCTACAGGCGAACCTTCTTCCGGTTCGGCTGGATCAGTGCATGATGCCTGCAGAGTGACAAGGCCGGCGTGTGTGAAGCAATTCGTTATCATGGCTGGACTCGTCGCAATCCATGCGGCGGTGATCATCTGTAGCGCCACTAACAAGTCCACGTCAGTGGGGCGCTTCACATGTATATTGGGCAGCAAACGCTGAATCAGCCTCTCTCTGTAAGCGCACTTCACGCTGCGAATAACTCCCTGATCGAAAGGCTGCAGCACCGAAGTGCAGTTTGGTGGAAAAAACACCAGGCGCACATTTCTGAGATGCACGTTGACGTGATGGGCGCTACAGTTGTCGAGAAAAAGCCAGACTGACCTGTTTGCCTTCCGCATGTCCGCATCGAAGGACTGGAGCCAGCTGCTAAAAATATCCCGCGTCATCCACGACTTCAAGTTCACGGTGTAGCTTACTGGCAGCCTGCGATTCCCCTTGAAACAGCCGGGCTTCTTGCTCCTGCCAATAACGAACAGGGGCTGTTTATCTGTGCCATTCATGTTGGGGCACAGTAAAATCGTCACGCCCCATTTCCTGTGCTTGCCACCGTGGCACTTCTGGCCTTTATTTAAAGTCCAAGGTCTTGGATGGCAGCATTTTATAAAACAATGCCGTTTCATCCGTATTATATATGTCCGAGGGCTTGTACTGGCCGAGCAGTTCTTTGTTGCTCAGCAGCCACAACGACGTTGTCACCGAGTCGACGGCTGCTGCCTCCCCGGAGATGACTTTGGCCACATGTCGTGGCGAGCTTTGAAATGGCTCAGCCAGCTGCGACTTGGCTGAAAGTTGTCGTAGCTGAGCATACAAGCGAAGTCCAGCGCCTTCTGTTGCAGGATCCTGCCAGATAAAGGCGCCTTGTCGGCACACTGTTCACAAAACCACGCAAACACCACCTTGTCCACAGCCGGGAACGCTGCAGCCGTCATGGTTTTGTTTCTTGCACTCGTGTCGTTTTCAAGTGCACCAAGAATGGAGGCCTTGTTCTTGAGAATCGTGGACAATGAGCTGCAAGCAACGCCGAATGCTTCGGGGATGTCCATTTTTTTTTTCTGCCCTTTTCCACCTCGTTTATGATTGCAGCCTTATATTGCAGCGTGATGAACTTCCACTTTTTCGTTGGGGGCTTCATCTTCGCAGGCAGCGAAATCGGATGAAGCAATCGCAACACACGGTTTACGTTGCACCAAGCGACCAAGCAAACTCTCCACAAACGGCTCCACACACGCGACCATGTGTGCGCAAAGCCGACAAAGCCAAGCACAGAGCCAAGTCAGCGAACGACACTCCATGAGGATTGTGGTTTTGGCTATGTACGTAGTCCGTGATAACAAGCAGGTGTTTCAGCAAGCCATCATCATCATCATTTTCGCGAGCTTTACCTTTTTTTTTTTCTTTCTTGTAAACAATGATGGCGGCTGCTTTTCAAGTGCGCTTAGCGATAGTTTTGCACAATTTAAGTGTAGCATGAATGCATTTCAGCAGTTTTCGAATGTAAATGTTACGAGAGTGGATTATTTGTGCACTCATGTTTCGAAAATTTCGTTAATGAGGGACTGCGGTATGAATATTTTCCGTAATTGTGAGTTAGGAAATGCATTGACTCCTATGGGCGTTTGCCGTAATTGTGAGTTAGGAAATGCATTGACTCCTATGGGCGTTTGCCGGTGCTCCGAAAATATTTCGTTGCGGTGAGAATTTCGTTTCGTCGGGATTTCATTATCACGGGTTTCGACTGTACTACCGTTTAGTGCATAGCTAGGCTTTGTTCTTGTATCTGTTAATGGGATTTCACTGGCACCGTGAAGTAACCAGCAAGTTGATTTCTGTACTGTAGTACTGCACCAAACTAGCCATTATTGATGGCTAGCGTGATGTTACTCTGGAATGGCACACCAGAACTGCCGTATCTTCGCGTTGCAACTACAGTGACAAGCCTGGTACTGTAGTGGACACTACATGCAGTGTTTGCTGTCTCGTCTGATTGTCAGCAGGAGGAAAAGCAATGTGTTTAGAATTGAAATCACATTGAGCTGGATTCGTCGCCAAGTGTGACTTCAGTAAGTTGCCCAGCATGGGATGGTACCAGATTGCGCAACTCAGAGTGACTCAGCATAGTAACGCCCCCTTTGAGAAGCTTTTGTTTAAATAACGAGGGCCAGAGCTTTGGCAGAGTTGGTGATTCGTGGCAAAGCAAGCACAGCACAGAAGATGGGGAGCGGTTTTCTGTTTTGTGCTCGTTCTGTCATGCGTTAGCCATTGGGAATGAAGCGCATGGGTGTTTCCGTTGCAGAGATGTTCCCGTGCCGTTCAACAGTCAAGCATTGCCCAACTTCAGCTCGTCCACTGAGAGCAAAAGCAGGATCGTCATAGAGAAGCGAGACGAGTCCTCCAGCGTTCCTGCAACCGATCTCTGCGACAAGTCCTCGGACAAGGCTCCGGCTGCCAAGGTTTGTACAGGTGGCAGCGCTTGTGCTTCGCTATGTTTCATGCCTTCGAGAGAGTGGCTCTTGCGTCAATGCACGTGGAGGTTTTCGCATGACAGAAGTGATTCTCTGGCAGGCAAAGAGGCATGCAGTATTTCCCCGTAGTATAAGACACACTTCTTTTCTAATATTTTCGCTGCGAGATCAATATACCGATATTTCGTTTGCAAGTGCGATAAATTAGCACAATGGTATTCGTGAAAAGATATTTAATCATGTTATAAGAATAAATCGGATGTGGTCATAGGTGTCGGCTATTTGCCGTTCAGACCATGCAGTGACTACAAAAACTACACCCACAATAAAAGCTACCATCATCACATGCATTATCCATGCATTGACTACAAAGACTATACCCACAATAAAAGCTACCGTCATCACATGCATTATTGTACCATTCAAATTGTTCTTAAAGAGGTGCTGCAACACTTTTCGAGCGTGGTGAGAAAATGCTGCTGAGCAGTGGTTGAGGCTTCTGAGAACACAACACGCGAGCCAAATATTATAGCGCAGCACGTGGCCTGGAATTTTCAATAAATTCTCCCACGTCAGCTAACAATTCCTTTCTCTTCTCTCGACAAATGAGGCAACAGACTTAACAGACTGCAACTGCGCTCGTACTTGACGTATTCTAAAAAAAATTTTGTTGTGGCGTTAAATTCGTAAGACATTTAAGTTTCTTCAATGAATCGGTGCTATGGCTACTTGAAAAAGTGTTGCACAACCCCTTCAAACAAATTATTCAACCAACGAAACTGAGGCAGTAAATAAAAAAGGGGCACCAAAATATTTATTTTTAACATTGCAGTGCCTGCAAAACTGTCAAAACGATACAAATGTAGGCTGTCTGGTGAATTGTTCGCTATTGCTACAGATAATGTTGTTTTTGTCAGTGCCAAAATTACTAGCAATTTAGGCACCATTTCTTTCCCTTCAGTTTTGCATTGGTAAGTAGGTGCACATCAGGTTAGCCCCTTTATGCTTGTAAAGGAGTTTGAATGTCTACTTTCGCACAAAAAACCAAATGCCTTTCTAATAGACGTTTCTGAGTCTAAAAGCTTTTGGTGTGCCTATGTTTCGTGGTTTTAAGTACCAACATTGAAGCTGTATTTCAGCTTCACTGAGTGAAGGCTTACATAATCCTCATTCTAAAGTGACTGTTGCGATCAACCTACACTCCACAACAACTTTTATTTTAAGTGTTTGTAAAGTAGTGCATTAAAGGTGAAAGTTGAGTGAGTGTCAGAGTTGTAAAGTGAAATGTTTTCAAGAAACTTATAACCGATGACAGTTGCTTTGAGTGAGAAGCATTAAAGGTGAAAGTTTTGAGTGAGTGTCAGAGTTGTAAAGTGAAATGTTTTCAAGAAATTTATTACCGATGACAGTTGCTTTGAGTGAGAAAGGTTACTGGTTTGTTACACTCGGCGTAGATGGCAAAAAGCGCCAAGCTGACGCATGCTTGCGAGGCAAGACAGCCTGGTACTGGAGTAGACATCATGCCTTACAATGTTCAAGAGGATTGGCTCTTAGAAGTGCAATACAAGTTCTTTATCACTCTGCCAACTGCATGCTCCTGGATATTTCTGGTCTTTCTAGGAAGACCAGGCAGCAACACCTGCAACACAAGGTCAAGTTGCAGAGAAAGATACACCTGCCACCACAGCGGTGAATGCTCTGCCAAACTCCGCTCCCCCGGCTGTGTCAGCGGCACCTTCTGACCAGTGAGTGGGATTCAGGATATGCCATACTTTGCTAGTTTGTACGAAGGCCAGTCATATTGCCTCAACTCAAACTTGTAGCTTTGCTAGGACATACTTATGAGGTCAGTAGAAACAATTCTGGGTGTTATAAGTTCTTTAGCCTTTCTATGACTGAGTCTGTGCCTCTGACTGCTTGATTCAGAGCATGCCGGAAGCACTGCATATTTTTGTAACAGCTAGTCTTTAATGCTACTTCTGAAATGCTAAAGCCTGTAAGGGCTCTATTGTTGCTCGCTAAGTGGTAGTTTTCTTCTAAGGTCTGAGAAGCCAGCAGCCAAGCCAGCTAGTGAATCGCTGATGCCGACGGGAAAGCGGAAAGCCACAGAGACGACCCCAGTCGTGGCAAGGCCACCTGAGAAAAAGCGCGGTCGACCTCCGTTAGACCGGACACTACAGTTTCAGCAGCAACAGCAGCAGCAGCAGCAACAGCAGCAGCAGGTAAATGCTGGTTTTGAACAATGCAATAATTTTAAATGGCCAACAACCCTGTAGTCCAAAATTGGTGGTAGAATAACAACTGTGCACTTCTATGATGTGAACACACTGCGTAAAAATTTTGTACATTAGGACTGTAATAGGGAAGTCAGAGCGTATAGAACAGGCCGTTTCAACTGATTTCAGTTTTCTTCTTGGCCTTCCTGCCATCCTTGGCAGTGAAGAGAAGGTATAGCCCCTTGTCGAGACTACTGCGCTCATTAGCAACGTGACACATTATCGGCGATTGCGTCATTGGCATGCATAAAATGATGGAGTAAGGCTTACCCCACATCGTCGCTCGTGTCAGAGTGGTGCTAGGGTCCATCAGCGATGTCGGTGAAGAAGCATGGTTAATACACGGCCAAAATCGAATCGCCAAAAAATGAAGTCTCATTATGAACTGCAGAGGAGCGAACCAATGAAGTAGAGTTTGCCAAGGGCAACATTATATTACTTTGTGAAGCAGAAGGGACTAGACAAGCGCTGGAAAGGTGCATGTGATTTACTTTCGAAAAGGAGTGCTGTCATATTCGTAAGATGTGCCTGCCTCGACTTTCTGCAGAAATCGGTGAGCTTGTTTGGAAGTTCTAAAAAGAAAGTCTGAGCCTGTTTACGGGCCCTTTAAAAAGCCACCAGAGGATTTCTGAGCTCGCTGAGTATTACAACTAGCACTGCGTACATGCTTGTTAATGCTGTGCTTGTTTAGATAGGAAATACTTGTACAACTTGAAGCTCTAAAAACCGTATAGTAGTGGTCTTTAACCAGACTTATTGGTGCTTCAGACTGCATTGGGGAAAATATCTCATGGCATTGCTTCTTGCTTCAAGTTGTGAGGGTCAAAAACTTTGCAATGGCCCAACAGTAGGCGCATCAGAAGACAGTACACACGAAGCATTTTGCTCCCATAGAAGATTACCTACAAAATAGCAAGTTACAGCTGCATATGTGCTTAGTTGCTATGATCGTCACTCATCCTGAGCAGCCCCTGCCTTTGTTCAATTAGGTACATGCAATCTACCTTCCCCTGCACTCTGTGCTACAGTGCACTTACTGAGTGATCACAGGAGGTAGGCGCACTAGCCTGTACCATCAACCCACCCTGCTATCTCTCTTTGTATTTATTGTTAAAACTAACCCCATTTCTTTGTTAATCGATTTAGCTACGGACTCGCACAATTTTGGTAGAGTTTCTTTCTGTGATCTCCTAGTCTGTTTTTTTTTTTCTTACCGTCTAACTCCATCATGTTTTATGCAGGCACAGAAAGAAACCTCTGGCCACACGGCTACCAATGCCCACCAGTCTGCACCAGTTCCCCACCGGCAACAAGCCATGTTTCCAGCGCTAAAGCAAAGCATGCCAGCCACGGTGAAGGTGGGTGATATGGTGAACACTTGATTGGATGTTCCAACCGGCGCTTTGTGCACTGATGCTTCCATGCAAAAAAAAAAAAAAAAAAACAGTGGTGAAAAGAACGTCAACATTGGTCTACTAAGAGCTGGGAATTGTCAAAGCGGCCCTTAAAACTATTTCAAATATAGCCATAGTATGGATTCACTACAGGAGCTGATTGCCACAAATTGTCAGAATTCGTCCAGTACGAGTGAAGTTACAGGGATTTGTTGCATCCGGCAATTGCTTTCTCTCTTCTCTTGTCCCAATGAAAGTGCTGGAAGCTAAGCACGGAGGGATGGCACATTGAAAGAAAATACTTCGCGCACCTCATCACCTTGAGCGCTTTCTCTCATTTTCTCTTGAAATGCGCGGCTTTTCAGTGTGATTGCACTCGCACGCATGGGGACAAGTCACTGTCTCTCTCGGCAGCCTTGGTAGCAACAGAGTGCGCCATGCTCAAATCAGCCAATCGCTAATAGAGCCAAACCCCGTTAATATGTACCTGCCGGGGACGGTGGCATAACTACGCACTACATGTACTACGTATTAACCACCAGCTACAAATTTGCATCTCCTGGCATGCATCATTGCCGCCAACAAAGGAATGAATTTAGGGCCACAAGAAATACATATTGCCTAAAGTGCCCACCGCAAAGTCATTTCTTTCTTTTTGCCAAAGTGCCGAAAAAGTTCTGACTCTCGGACAACCGCCCGATAGCACGGGGTAGCGACGCCAAGGAGCATTTTGAAATTACTATGGGGTCCGGGATAAGCAGCTTGATACAGCGACAAAACGGACACAATCGGCTGTCCATGATAGTTTTTCTGCCTCTGTTTCTAAGAGACAGCTGACACTGTGATTTTTTTTTTAAGGAATGCGGTATGGTTACAAAGATCCAAATCAATTATTGCAAGGTTTGTTGTGTGCAGCACTTCATTTATTCGGCACACGCCGTGACTGCCGATCAGCTTGCTGTAGAGCAGTGGTTCGCAACTGGGGGTCCGCGAAGCCATTTCCATGATTCGCGAAACCCTCACTTGCATTTTTCTTTAAGTGTGACTGCACCATGTATGGATGAACTAGTCAAGAATGAAGTGATGTGGCACGTTTGCTTTTTGCCGGTGGCAATAAAAGGCACCTGTTTCACCACACTCCAGTTGTGTTTAAACTCTACCTACATGCCCCCCCCCCCCCTCCCCACCCCCCCCCCTCTGCTGCAAGGGTTTGCCCATCACTTCACCAGTCCACAAGGGGTCCCCGACACATCATGCTGAGAACCACTGCTGTAGAGTACGCCCACTGCACTTCGGATCATGCACAAATGCTTCGAGTAGCCTGCTGGGTTAACACGGGGACGATGAACTTTCCACAAGCAATGCGCTCTTCACGGTGTTCTAGCAGTCCTGGCAGCAGACGGAGGCGTGTTTGGGTTGTCGGTAAATAAAAGCGTGCTGCAAAGTTACAACAGCGCTACGCTTGCTGTAAGGTTCGTGTATTGGCATGATACGTACAGCAAGGCTTCTCGGTGCCTGCGGCCCGCAATGCTAAACTTTGCAATAGTGAGCGGCTTGTGTTTTTATTAAAGCGGTGCAGGCTTGAACACGGTCATGCACAATGAAGCGGCAGCGATCCGCGGTCCAACGCGTTCAGGTAGTTGCCTACTAAAAGCATGCAGTAGGCTTAAAGTGACCCTACGCCACACGCATGCTCGAGCAGATAGCTGCGGATGCTTACTGTGATGAGGCTTTTCGCGACCATGAGTCATTGGGCGCGTTTGTCGGTCGTCGCCACCTCGCCTTCGTTTTTTTTTTTTTTTTTTTTCGCAATGATTACTCACAAAGTCATAGCTGCAATCATGCGGAAGTCGAAACTGATCGGCTGATCTCCGCACTTGTCAACATGACGGAAAACAGTTCACAGCACATTGTGGCGCCTGCAAGTTCAGCGGCATCGTAAACTTTTGTGGCTTGAAATTCTGTCGTCGTACGCAGTTGGTACGTATTAACCGGTAGGCATAAGGCAAATCACTACAGCCTAATTAAATTAAGCGCTCCACGAATGCATTTGTCTTTTTGAGAATCAGTCACGGATTGGTTGCAACTACGTTTTAACCATTAGTATGCTTAAAGTGGGTACATACTAATGGGGTTTCACTGTACTCGACCTCTGACACGCTGATTTTTCAGTCGGTTGCGTCATTCGTTGAGAGAAGAGAGCAATTTTTTGCTGGCTTTGAGAACTCACTGTAAATTCTATTCCGCATTTTGCGCTACAATATTGGCCTCACATGTTTTTTGGGAGCCTTGGCTACCAATCGGCAGCATTTTCTACCATGCTTAAAAAGATTTACGGGGCCTCTTAAAGTTACTAGTATATTTGTCGGCCATTACGTTTTCTTGGATCATGCATTCTTCTGTCATTGTTCTGTGGTGCAATTTATCGAACAGTGCAAATTTTGTCAGTGCTACTTAGTTCATAAGCCTCTTTTCTCGGGATGCCTGTTGCCCGTGGAGAGTTCTGCAGTATGGCGAGACTTATCAACACCAGCTTAATGGTTGAATGTTGGCTTGTTTGATGTCTAATTGCAATACCATTTGGCAGGTAAAACTTGATAACTAAATTTCATCTTTTAGGTGGCATACCTCGAAGACACTAAGGTACTGAGGAGCATTCAGCTGCAGACAGACATTCCAGTACCAGGATCACGGACAGTCAGCAAGGTGCGATGCAGTGAGGAGGAGACTGTCTTCTGGGAACACCTGGTTTCAGGTCGAGGAGTGGCCCTCGCCGCTAGCAGGTGAGTGGGCACGCTTTCGGAAGAAAGATAGCAAAGTTGTACTGAAAGCACACCGTGCCTCTCATCAGTGCTCATTCGCAGCACCTGGTATGTAGACTTACTCAGATTATACAATTGAAACTCCCGGTAACCAAGAGTTCATTAAGGTTTGTTGATGCGCTAGTTTTAGCTCTAGAGTCATTATAGGGGATGGCCTGGTGGCAGATAAGTGTTGACTGTTCCCATGCTCTGGTTCCCAGATACACCCACAGTGTCTTGCTGCCTCGGTTGTAAACGAAGCGATGTTTCTAGGTGGCATTTCGTCAGCAGGCAGCAACCGATGTGAGGCCATGTTGTGCTCGATAAGAAGGGGCACGTTGGAGATGAGGTGATGAGGTTTCGTATAAGGGCTTTGGCTTACTTGCGCTACTCTTTCTTTTTTAAGAGAAACGAGACTTGTCGTATGCCTCTTATCTCAAGCCGCAGTTAGAGTTGGCTTGTGAATGCGTTGCTGTTTCAACAGCTTTGAAAGCATGAAAATGGCTTTAAGTTTTTTGTGATTCATGATGTTCATAGTTCCGATCCGTTCACTTACGGTTGCTGGCTCTAGTAGAAATATTGTGGTGCTTGCACAGTTTTTCTTAATTTTTCGACTCCGTTGTTGACGCATGTCTTTCTGCTTCACCGGTACAGTCACGTGGTGTGTGTGGTGTGTGAAGACCGGACTTTGACGGCCCTGTCATGCGTGACGGGTGCCAAGCTCATGCCCCCACTGCTGCTGTCGTGGCCCGTCGCCCACATGCTGTGCAAGGGCAGCTGCCTGCTTGTCCTTACAACGCATGGCTCGGTGCACGTTTGGGACCTGAGCAAGCGCGTCTGCACCGTGCGTGATGAATCAGTGGCCCTCTTGTTCCGTGACACGTCGGGAGCAACGCTCCGCGCTTCCAGCATCACGGATGAGGGCCTGCCGCTGCTCACGCTCACGACGGGCAAATCGTACCTCTTTAGCAAAGAGCTTGGCTCGTGGCTCCTGCTTACGGGAAGCGAGGACGCTGTTGCGCAGTGTTCAGACCACCACACGTCCATGCCTGCAGCACCAGATGGCGTGAAGAGCTCGACGCTGCCCTTGGGATCGCTCCAGCACAACATGTTCAGGTATGCAGCGCATGAGGTTCATCAGTCAACAGTGATAACTTGAAGCTGTAGTGGCCAAGAGTGAAGTAGCACTTGACCTCAAGCTGCGGCTTGCAGCCAATTAGAGTCAGTGCTAGTCTGCTCTTGTCTGTACAATAATTTAGAGTTCAGTGCTTGTTTTGTCTGTACAAATAAAGTCCGTTTGGATTCAGTGCTAGTACGCTCTTGTCTGTACCAGTGATCTTGCGTGACCACACCCCCTTTGCTTTTCACGGACCCTGTCGTTGCCGTCTGTTCATGTCGAGCATTCTGAGAGCAGGCAAATTGTTTTATTTTTTCTCATTGTGTGTCCATGGCTTCTGTCGCAGCGTCGGCACATTGTAAGAGTGTGAAGCTGGCTGCTCAAAATGTGCTTGCGGTGTAGTGTACGGCTCGTGTTCCACACATTATACAACACTAAACAGGAGTTATGAACTGCCTGACTTGTAATGATAGTCAAGTTTGGTGATTTGCAGTTGTCTCTTGTGCATTCTATTGCCTGCAGAGTTCCCCAGCGAGCCAAGTCGGTGTTTCACACTGGCCCCTCACTACAACAGGCTGGCACGCTCAGCTTCCTAGATGGTCAGATTGCGGCGTCCTTAGCTCTGCGATCATCCAGCGAGTACAAATTCTGGACGCTCACATTGGCGCGGTACCTCGCCACAGAAGGTGAGTGCTGCTATGACCTGATAATTCTTCAAAAAAAAAAAAAATAAATAAAGAAAGAAAGGGAGAGAGAGAGAGAGAAAGTTTAGAAAAGCGTCCTGTAGTTAACCCCTGCAGCATAACTGCCCAGTATGAGTTCTGATATGGAATGAGCAGCAGTTTCAAAATGGCGTCTAAAATATTTTTGAGTGATCTTTTCTCTAATCAGTTATACGTTTTACATGGTTACAGTGCTTGCTCAATTGCAGTCAATATCTTTTTAAGAATTTTTGTTACAATGGACCCTCATGTTACATTTTAGAACAGTGAAATTGACCCTTGATAACGTGCACTACCTAAATTGTGCAGTCTCGGAGGGCTCGGTGCCAACCCTTGGCCACTGAACTAACATGCACTTGGTCACATTGGCAACGCAGATGATACTCCACTGTAACTCGACATGCAACTGTTGGCAGTGTTTGTATGTCGGAGGTCTGAATCAATGTTACTACTACGTCGAACGGAAACACACATACCTGATCGTGATGCTTTGTGCTTGGCGGATGGTTGTGAGTTCCTGCCATGCTACATTATTTTCTGGTGGAAAACATGTGGGAACTTTTTGACGACCTCAAATGCTTGGAAGATGATTTACATATTTACTACTCTCGTAATGAACCCACCCTCAACACTGATTCTTGAAAAAAAAAAATTTTTATGTACCTGTTCATTTTATTTCGGCGAGATAGCCAGTGCTGCTGACTTTCGAAACAAGGTTAAATCCCGCCATTATAGTACAACAAAATAATGATGCAATAAAGTCATAACATAGTTTAACAACCGTGCAACACAGTTTCGAGCAGCGCGAGCGCAGAGGACATCGGTGAAAATTGGACATCGCAGAGGACATCGGTGAAAACAAAAAAATGTTTTTTGTGGCAGAGTGCCATCTGTTGAACGCAGAAGAAACCTTTGCTTATAACGCCACGCAAGCACAGCGGCGTAAAGACAAAGCGCAATAGGCATTCTCTGGTACAGCGCGGCGGCGCCTGCTGTGCAGATGGCAGGACGTGCACCCCCAACGGGCATACTTGTTGTTGGGTTTGTCATAGTGAACTTTGTCAGACTCCTGCTGTGGAAGGCACGATTGGTCGGTAGGTTATGTATACGGCCGGTTTTCAACTTACAGTAGGTAGAGCATGCACTAGAGCGTGAGAACCGAGCGGCTGGCCAACACTTCAGCGTCGATCTGTGCACATTTGTTACGGGAGAAAACAAAAAGAGCTTCGGGCTACGAAAAAAATTCGTCGAGTATTACGTGGCCCAGATCAAAGACAGTTTCCCCTTGTACAGAGTGAAGTTTTTTAACAGAGGCTTCATAGTCCTGCCACTGAATGGAAGGCCAGCAGTGGTTGGACAGCGAGTTCCTTAATACCGTCATGCGAAATTTTTGCCGTCATAACTGCTGTGACTTTTTCTCCTGCTTTACGAGCCCTCCTTTCAAATTGGCATCGGCTTTCTTGGTAAAAAAAAAAAGGTGGGTTCATTATGCGAGTAACTACAGTAATCCGAGAAGTTCAGAGTGACTGGGGAAGCTTGGTTTCCTCGTGCTCCTTTGACGACGACAAAGACTAAAGAGAGTTTTCCGAAGTTTTTTTTCTTGAATAAGAGTACTATTTCTTTGCCACTTCATTTCACGTTACATTCAAGGTTTTTATTTTAATTTTCGCATGGCAGGAGATCAGCCGCTGCGTTACAATTATGGTTGCGTTGCATTAGAATAATTACAGTGGACTCCCATTAAACGAAACTTGGTTAAACGAAAAAGCTGCATAAATAGAACTATCCAGGCACATTTGGTTGGTCTCTTATATATTTAATCATAAAAAGCTTCAAGTATTCGCAACATTTTCTTTAGCTTACATCGGTTAAATGAAACTAAAGCGGGCAAAATCCATGAACGGCAGTAGTGGCCACGGCAGTCTAGCCACCATGAAACAGATGCCAATCCAGCGATTGCATATGTCCACACACGCCGAACTGCAATCGACGTCTCGTCGTCAACTTGAGGACAGCCTTGAGGAACCTATAGCAGAAGTTCAAGATGAGGACCCATGCTCAAGTGGTAATGAGACGGTGTGTGATCCCCAGCCCATTTCAGTTGCTGACAGTGCAGCAAGAGATGCTGTCATCCTGTTGCAGCGCTACGTTGAACACGATGGTGGCACAAATTTCCTGCGCAGCCTTTCAGCAATGCACTCCTACTATGTGAGAAAGTGCTTGGACGAGGCCAAGCAATCTTTATAACCTACATTTTTCCGAGTCAGCAATATTAGAAACATTTTTCTTTTTAATACACTATAGTAGTATTGTATACTTCAAAATGTTTTTGTTCAGCCAGCCACATGCAGTTGGTGCTTTTGAAATAAAGTCATATTTTATTCATTTTGTGGGCTGTGCTTAAATGAAACTTCTCATAAATGGAACAAATTTTCTTGCCCCTTCGAGCTCCGTTTAAAAGGAGTCCACTGTATGGTGTTTTTCTTAGCTTTAAAGTGACGCTGCAATACAGTTGCCATCCGATATTCCGGACGCCCAAAATTCCGGACATGCCCGATTTCCCGGACTCATCTGGGGCACCGTCACGTTCCCCATAGGGTCAATGTATTAAAAAGTCTGAAATTCTGGACGCTTATAGCCTTCGGCATTCAATTTCCCAGACTTTTCACTGTTAACTGTAGACCCAAGGTCACCAACGCCGCTGCCATTTTTGTCATTTTCATATCCTCGCGCCGCCAATCGTCGCACCACGCCGCGGCTGCCGAAACCTCGAAACCGCACGTGTAAATTCGTTGCCAGCCGTAGCTTACCGGCTTAGCCAAGGCTAATCTCACTGTGTTCGTTCATGTGTTGTTTTGTCAGCTCTGCTGTCATGTCTGCGGTTGATCGTTTGCTGCTGCGCGCTATCTTCAGTGATCATGTTTCTGTCGACCTTCAGCATCCACAGAGTTCTTAGCTGTTTTGTGCTGCGCTTTTCGTCGAGCGGATTCGCCAATTACAGCGATGGCACCGACTGCTCCTTCGTCTTCGTCCGCACCTTAGAAGCGCACAAAGCCCCCTCGTAGGCTCACGATGGGAAAAGCTATGCTATGACCTCAGGTCTGCCATAGGTATGCTGGCAGAATTGTGGAAGGCAATTATGCAAGAGTCTCTGCGGAACTGTTTTCGCCACACGGGCTTCACACTTGACGCCGAGACGGCCATCTCGCCCCTAGTGGACAGTGTGGCAAACTGCCATCCGCGCATGTTGCCTTCGACGATCTGCGCGCTGCTGTCGTGTTGATTCCAGCCTGAATAACTTTTGAGGGCTTCGCCGACGCTGACAAAGACCTTGAGCTATGGGCGGACTTGACCAATGACGAAATCATTCGTCAAGTTACGGTGGATTCCGGTGACTCCGACACCGAGAACTAAGAGCCATCTCATACACAGCCAATGAGCTCGGAGTTGACGCGAGCACTGATGACACTGTCATCGGTGTACAGCAGCAACATGACGTTGACTGAAATAGAGGCAGACATGATCGCGAGCAAGGGGAACGCCTTGCAAAAGAAAATAGGTGACTTCTTTGCGCCCAAGTGCTGACCTATGAGGTTGCGCTGGCCACTTCGTTATATTTTTTAACGGCTCTTGTCAGAGCCACTTAAACGATGCATTGGCTGAATCGCTATGGGAATCTTGTACTCCGGCCGTTACCCTCTCTGTCAGTGAAAAGTACCTACAAAAAAAGATGCGTTTTTATGTGCATTCGTTTTTTCGGACTGCCCGATTTTCCGGACGTTTTCACGGTCCCTTGAGGGTCCAAGAAATTGAACGTCGACTGTATTGATAGCAAGTTGCATCACTGCACACTTTGGGAATCGCATTTCAGTGCTCTCAGAATGGTAACATTGGAAAATAACAGAAGGTGAATTCTGGTGGCGTCATTTGCTTTAGATACTGGATTCTTCATTCATGTAATTTCCTTATACGGTTGCTATTTTACGACGGTTTTTCATTTGCAGTTTGGGAGCTGTGGCGTGTTTTTTCTGATGTAACTCTCTTCCTTGTTCCAGGTTTGGAAACCCGACTAAAAGATCTCTGCACGCAATTTCTTGGTCCTGTGGGTGGCAACTCGCAGTCATGGGAACCAACTATACTGGTATGCAAACAGTGTGCTATGTCTTGTCACAGACAGTCAAGCCTTGCCAGGTCTTATCTGGACACTTTTCTCATAGCCAAGCCTCTAGTAAGGCCACAAGCAATATTAATCAAACGAAATGGTATAAGTGTTCATTGTTTAGTGTTGTTTTATTAGTATGTAGCTGATCATACATTGCCACCCTGTAGTAACATGATCAGCGTGGAGAATAAAAATTTCATTATGCACTAGTAGAACATGGGAAAACGTTCAGAACAATATTTGAATGCCAAAAGTCATTTATCTTGCCTTGTCAACCCTTGCCATGTTAGCAGACGCAAATGTCTTCTTTTGCAATGCAGCAAGTTGTCTTCTATTGTGAAGTCACATGGTGTATTCCTTACATTCGGAGGTGCGTGATTACTTTTGGATCTGGACCTGTCATTTAAACTAAGAGGTTGTACCATATAAACCGGACTATAGGTCGAGTGGTAATATAGGTCGACCCCCCAAGTTCAGGTTACGAAAAAAAAAAAAGGAAAACAACCCAAAACTGCCCAACCACATTTATTTGCGAATTGGGCGCACCGGACCGTCAGAGCTCCACTCAACCACCATAGCAACTGCTCCTATTCGTCTGACGAAGTACCACTGTCTTCTGAAGACGAGAGTTTGTCGCTGGCCATCTCCCACAGTGCGTCGTCTTCCGTGCCATCCAGCGAGTTGTTGATGCAACATTTCTTGAAAGCCTTTTCCACCATGGAATTTGGCAAGGAACGCCAGGCAGAAAGCACCCAGCCACAAACAGTCGCAAGCGGAGGCCTCTAGGCGGCCCATCGGTGTTTCGGGGTTGTCACCGGACATCCACTCTCGGTACTCCAGCCGCACTCGGTCCTTGAACGGCTTGTTTAGCACAACATCGAGCGGCTGGAGGGTGGACGTCATACCACCTGTATCACGGTGAGGTCCGTTTTCCCGTCGCCGAGTGCGCGTTTCACAGCCTAGGATAAGTGACTACGAAATGCATCCAACACCAGCATGCTGCGAAGACGCAGCAGTGCACCTGGCCGACGGTTTCACACTACTCTTACCCATTCGAGCATCATGACCTCGTCTATGTATCCCTTTTTGTTGACGCGAACGACAACACCGGGCGGAAAACTTCCTTCGGCATTGTCTTGCGTTTGAAAATGATGAAGGGCGGAAGCTTTCTACCATCTGCCGTGCATGCCAGCATGACGGTGAAGCGCAAGTGCTAGTTGCCAGTGGACAACAGCTTCACATCCTTGGCGCCGCGCTGCGTGATCGTGGTCGACGAAGGCATGTCAAACCACACGGGGGTCTCATCGGCGTTGCCAAGCTGTCCCATCATGTAGTCGTTCTGCTCCCAAAGCTGGTTCACGAAGCACTGAAAGTTTATAAGCTTGTCCTCGAACTTCTCTGGGAACTTTTGACAGATGTATGTGCGCCGCCTGAGAGAAAATTCTTTGCATCGCATGAATCGACGCACCCAAAAGTTTGGTGCACGAAACTCTTCTCTCATGAGCCCAGCTTCTCGAGCGAGTTCCACGGATTTCTTGCGAATGGTATCCACGGTCACTGGCAGCGAGCGCGCACGAACTTCCCGCACAAAGTCTACTAGTTTATCCTTCAGCTGCGGATAAACGCCCTTTTGTCCACGAAACGACATTTTTCGAGGATTGCACATCTGCAGCTTCCCTTTCTGCACCCTCCAACAGCGCACGCTTTTTCCGATACACCAAAGCGGCGCTGAGCTGCCATATTCACATTCGTTTCTGCAAACTTAACAACATCTTGTTTAACACACAGCAGAGTACTGCCTCCTCGTACCGCTACTCATATTCAGTGAACGAAAAAAACAAAGACCACTAAAAATGTAGCACAATGTCAAGCGGAGCGAAAACTCAGAATAGATTGGAAACAAATAACGAACACAAAAAAAAAACAGGCAGAGAAAAAAAAACTGCTCGCAATTGGATTTGGATGCGGATATGACCACGTCCGGCTTCTCAAGCACATGCTAGCAACATGTTGCCAGACAGCGGCGTACTTTCAGCTAGACACCGCTATATAAGACAAGGGGCGACTTTAGCTTATTATTTTATTGAAAATATCTCGACTTACATTCCGGTTTATATGGTACTTCATGCAGCTTTAGTAGGAAGCAGGGAAGTTTGAACTCATTGACAAGTATGCTGACCTTTTGTGAGCAGATAAACAACCTTTAAATTTTTTTGCTGCTGGTTTAGAAGTTCGCAACATTTGTTTGTGATATGTGAGAGGAATCGAATTCTATAAGGACAGCAAAATATGTTGTCGCGAGAATGTTGTCATAGCACGAATTTGTTATTGCGGGATTGAATGGGTTGCTTTGCTTCTTCAAGGTTGACCTGGTAGTCATTTATGTCTCATGTTCGTTCGTCATTCTGAGTTCAACTAGCTTAGTCGTTAAAGATGAGCAGGATTCTGTATTGCATTTTTTTTTCAGAGTTTTATGGATTGAAATGCAATTAGTTCAGCCCCAAGTTAGCTGAGCCGCGTAGAAAATCCAGTCTTTTAATGGTCGAAGGCTCCGGCAAGTGTGAATAGCACATCAAATGAGAATAGCAGTAATGGTGAAGAAATGTTTAGCTGTATATTAGGAATTCTCATCCAGGGACTTTAGCAGCAAGTTACTACAGGGCAAACTATGCTTCTCACAGGGCTTGGACAAACGCGGGCTGCTGCAAGAGGTGTTGCCATTTTTGGCCTCCAACTTGCGTCTACAGCGGCTCTTCACAGAGTTCAAAGAACAGTTGGACATGACCACCAGTGATGGTCTGCTGCCAAATGGTTGACCGTCAATCAGCAGACCTAGGCATTGCTGACTCACATTTGTCAGGCCTGTTGTATCATAAACTGAGAAACTGTAACGCCACCAGGAGAGGCCCCCATCGTGGAACTTCGACCGATGCCCTCTGCAGCCTTCCTTCCTTTGGTAGTCACGATCTTTCGCATTGTGGTGGTACTGCCTGTTTGCCATGACTGCTGCAAAGAGAAAAGAAAGAAATGGTGATTTTCTCATTTGGGAAGTGTGTGTTGCCATTGCCACATCCGAGAAACCTGTTTGTGTGGTGTGCCAGTGATAGCAGTTCTGCCAGTTCTCGGCTGACAGTGCGGATAGGAGTCGGATGCAGGGTTAGCATCGCGAAGCCATCACAGGTGTTCCTGGAGCAGCATGTAAGAACAGGGAGGACGCCACCTGTGTGATCTTCAAATTTTGCATGGAAAATCGTTGTGGACTTAAATCTTTTTTTCTTTTTAACCTGTGCCCTACATTGTATCAGTCTGCCACTCAGATACGCGACACATCCAGTGATTTACGTCATCCTGTATAGAGCCTCATCATTCAGGCCACATTAGGTTTCATAATAAGCACTCTCGGGATGAAAGAATGTTGGAATTCAGCTCCACCAAGATAGTAGCACAATTGGGCTGAACTGTAAGACTTGTGTCGATCGTTCTGAAGCTGCTGCGTTTCAGCGAATGCTGTAGACACTCTAAAATAGTGGTTGATACTGCAACCCAGTCTTAATTTTAAGGCACTGTTGACTGCTGCTATGAGCGTGCTGTGGTTACGTATCCTTGTATAATGGTATGGTGTGTAATTGTGCATTTCCTGTGAAGCACCCGCTATGTTGCATCACAGCATTAGTATCGACATGTGTTGCAACAGATCTGCCTTCTCCTAATGCTCTTCCTCAGTTCTACCAGTTGGAGGGTTGTGCCACGCTTCAGTTGAAGTATTCACGACGCTTGTGTAGCACTCCTTAGCTGCTCCTGCAGTATTATTTTGTAAATGTGTGCGGGCTCCTAAGGGCTGTTCCTCGACAGAGCTGTCACTCATAAGTCGCTCAGGACCTGGTTCGATGGAGTAAATTAAAAACAATTTCTCTCCTTACAAGTTAGACAGGAGCATTGATGAACTTATCTGACGGGCTACTAAGAGCTGCTAACGAAGCAGGGCGACATCTCAAGGAAGTTCCCTTCGCAGGAGTTGCTGAGAAGTGTTGCTAAAGAGACAGTGATGGCTTCGTTGGGGAATGGCACGGCCCTTTATGACCGATGGGTGAAGTCACGTAGCGGCTCTCTGCCAGATGCAATGGTCTCGTCACAGCGCTGTGTTTTCTTTACGCTCCGTGTCTGCAGTGCTGCTGAACGACATTGGAACGCTGTGTGACTGGGGGCATTTCTTTTAACTTTGTTTCTTGTCCATTGTATTAGTGAAATAAGTAAGCAGTCTGTTTTATATAGCGCCCTCGTCTGCATTCTAGCGAAGAGGTCCTTCATTACTGTACATACCATAAGAACACTTGCCGGAAGAGCCATTTGCCTGCGTGCCGAGCTTTTGCCACTTATTTGTCTTCGCCGACATCAACCAGAGCATTTCCTTCATCCCCTGCTGGTTTCGTGGAGGGCCCCAAAAAGTGAGATTCTGTGGAAGCAGAAGAAGCAGTTCACTGCAAGCGGCATACCTGCCAAATGAGACCCTTCCTCTGTGCCTGCTAAGATAAGTAATTCGCTCATGAGAACATGTTTTTAGCCTTTAGTATTTTCAAATGACTGCGGATATTTTTATTTTTGGTTCTCGGAACTTGCTGCTCATTTTGCTGAGTCTTGTACCTTAAGGCATTCTATTTGTGGCAACTAATACAAGCAATGAACAGGAATTAATGAAAAAAGATGCCATTTTTTAATGTAAACATCATTGATGAAATAATTTAGTTGCACTGCAGTTTGGCATTTGGGGAATATTTTAAACCATTGAATTGAAGCTGCATTTGATAAATGAAATGTTGAAAAAGTGGGTATGAAATTGTAATACCCGTACTGAAAAACACGTTTTTCTACACAAGTTATATTTTTTTCATAGGTTTATGTTACTGTTATAATAGTTCCATTGTGTGTTGCCTTTTGCAAGAAGTCTTCGTGACAGTACACACGTGCTGAGGTAGCACTGCTGTCCAGAAATCGTATTCACTGGGGTGCCTTTTGCATCAGTAAGATTCGTCTATGCATAAATCTCTATAAATACACGGAACTTTAATAGTGTAAAAAAATAAAGGTCTGCTGCAGCTAATATGTTCAACTGAAATATATATCCTAGTAATTATTAGTGTTGCTAAAGTTTAACACCTTCATGCCAAGAGCAGGAGCACAATTTTTGTTCCAAACATCCTCAGTTATGTACACGTTCTACGAGGAGCCATGCATTCATAAGCAAAGCAATGTGGTACTGCCTGTTGTTGAGACGCTTCTTGTGGAATCATAGGCAGTGTGCATATCGGTGTATAAAATTCCAGAGTTGTCATTTCGGCTGTGAAGGCTGTTTTAATTTGCATGTGGTATTTTCAATCGTGTATGAACAGCTTTGCCCAGAGGCGACACTTCCAGCCCCGATTCATCTATGTTTATGTTCACCAAAAAAACTGTTTTACTACAAAGGCCCACTGCAGCATGAGAAGTCAAATATATTAGCGTCGTAGAAGGCCTGCATGCTGCGAGCTATGCTCTTCCCAATGGCGTTTCGTCAGCTTTTGTGGATGAAAGTGTAGCAGGCATGGTAGAATAGTTGAGATGTAGTAGCTAGTTGCTTGTAATTCTCTTGATATGCAAATGCACTGGAGAAATCATTATGCTATGCATCTGATATGCTTGCACTCTAATATACAGTGTGAATGCAGTGTGTGGTGAAACTTTTGTTAGACGTGAGTAAATTTACAATGCACGTATTTAAGACAGCATAACGGTGCACGTGTGTGTTATGGGTAAAGTGTTGCTCTCCCAGCTGGAAAGTCTGCAGTTCAGGATGCCCAAGTGTTGGGCCTAATACACAAGGTTCAACTGATGCTTCTGCCATATTGTTAGGCTATGTAGTAGAATGGTTAAAAAAAGAGCTAGCACTTCAGCACTGTACATAAATGTTAAAGAACTTCTTTTCCAGTGAACTGTTTGAATTGTGCTTAATTGTATTTCAGGCATCCTACTTTTGTTGCGAGAATTGGTAGTTATTTGTGCTTCCACAATCTACTACTAATACATCTACTGTGACGCTGATACTACTGTCATTGCTAGTATGTTTTAAGTGTTAGAATTCATTACAACAAGAAAGAGATGATTAACACTTAGCCTTTTAATATAATGACTAGTTTGAAACCGGCTGAAGTAAATAGAATGTCAGTAGCATCTATTGAGCCACCTACCCAGTTGTTAAATGATGCTACAGATTTTTTTTATTGCATATAGTACTGAGCATGACAAGGTGTGTGCAATTTTTTCCAAGCTAGGACAGAGCCTGGTATAGCTTTGCCTTTTGGTAAATGCTCAACAGCGGTTACGGTGTTAACGTTGCACTGAGCACGCGAAGAATGGTCAGTGTGTACAGGTGTGTAAAGGAACTTAGCTCAAAGGCTGCCTGTGTCAATATTGTACATAAAACGAAGACCCTTGTTTATCGTACTGCATTTTTTTCTTGTGTTTTCGCTCTTGCACACCATCTGTATTTATAGCGATCATATCACTGTCGTGATTGTTGTCTCCTTTCTGTTTTTTGGCAGAGATTCTCGTTTTGTTGTTTGATATTTTATGTGCATGTTTATTTTTCTTACACACTATGTATATTTCGCATTTCGGGTAATGTAGTATTTTACCTTTGTTGCCTTCCACCCTCTTTTCCATTTTCAACCATCAATGTTCCAGCTGTAAAAAAATAATAAATTTGTACGAAGCATCCAGTCATGTTGCTGCTGTCATCCTGTGTGAATTTGAAGGTTTAGCTAGACTCAATTAACCTGACCGATGGTAATGAGAAAACAACACCTGCGCGCGACATGATCAACAGCAGGGGGTCTCGATAACACCTCACCTAGTGGGCTGTAGTTGTCAAGGGGTTGCTGTGTACACAATTTCAGCTAAAGTTGTCATTTGAGATGATGCTTCACCAATATTAATATATGGGTTATTTTTGGAAGGAATTTGGCATTAGGATTCGAACTACATGGCAGTGCCGATCTCCAGAATGACTAAAACCTGTGCATTGATTGTATGATATAGTTTGTTGCCCGGGCATGTTTCAACACATGGTGAAAGCATGGGGTGTCTCACGAAAAAGAACACTTGGGAACATGCTTGTCTTGGTAGCTCACGAAAATACCGTACCTAAAAGTAAAGAATATCAATTGAAATATGGGAAGAAGACAGTCATTTGTAGGGTCTGTCACGTGTACTTGTGCAAGACCGTTGGAGACCATTAGAGGGGCCTTCGCTTTCTAGTAAACATACGATTGGTTCATTGATCATCATGTCGGAGATCACAAATGCCCAGCTGGGTCATCAAGTTGGCACAGATTTTTTTAGCAAAAACTTCCCTGACACGCAAGGATGCTGCCATAGATATCACTACACTACTCTTAAAACGTTATCAACTCCGGAGATGCTTGTGGGGTTAGTGAGGTCGTGTAAAGTAGAAATGTAAGCACGTGTCATCATAAAGCGCAGACGACAACGCACTACGATTCAAATGCCCAATATCGGCCGCTCATCGTCGTGAAGTCGTTCACGGCGTAATTTTTGTCAACACGGCCTCATCAAATGTGAGGCCCAAAGGATGGCTTTATGCTCTTTCATAGTAGAGTACCAGGTACTCTAAATCGTTAACCACTTGCTCTAAACGCAATATCGGCCCTGATATCGAATGCTTGTGGAATCTTTTGTTAAAGTATTACAACTGAACGTCAAATCCTGTTCGCACGTGTCTAATATGTTTGAAAACGTCCTTGTTCGTTTTATCCGTTCTGTAAGTAATTACCAGAGCAAGAATGAAATGACAATGGCAGCATATTCTATCCATGATATTCTAGTATTTCTAAGGACCACGGACGAAGGAATGAGAGGACTTGGCATGTCCAGCCGGGAAAAAGTGTGGAGAAAGTGATGCCATGGCAGCCATATCTACAAGGCACATGTTGCTATAGTTACAGGGTTACACAATGGGTTGCGTTGCTGTGGTGGTGCTAAAGTGGTAAGTGCCTAGTGGCGCGATCGTCGGACTCGTATAGACCCGTGGCGACGAATATCCGTATTTTGTGCCACGTTGTTAGCTGCGCAGTGTTATGCCGGTGGTCATTGTCTCCTAGTAACGTTTACAAAACACATGTTGTTAGCCCCGGGGCCTTAGTGCGTAGAACAAGTGCGTATATTCGTGTGCCATGCGCTAGGTACTGCGCCGTTCTCCCGACCGGCCTGCAGAAATTATGTGCCTTTTTCCTTTTTTTATCACTACCACCACCGCCACCACCATGCGGTGGATAGAGTATTTGAAGTCTTTGAAATGCTGAGCGAAAATGTTTTCGGGCACAACGACAAAACGAAACCACGACGAACGCCTTCCTGGTCAGTGACGGTTTTGCAGCGTCCCTGCTTGTGACAACAGACAAAACATTTGTACTGAGGACTTCGTGTGAACATATGTCTATGGTTTCGTGTTCGATGTGTGTAGTAAAAACTTGCATATGCGTATTAAAACACCTTTTCTGTTTCGCTTGCTATTCTCGCCCTTTCGGCATTAAAGCAACCGCGTTCGAGTGTCACTTGCACCGGGCACAAGGTCACCGCGGCTGCACAGTGCCGGCGCCGGTGAGCTTTTTTACGTGGAACACGGGCACGGGGATCCGCGTGAGAGATGGAATGCAACCATAGAAGACGGCGCACAGCCGATCGTGTTGTCTGTTCAGTGTGTGAATATAACTGTCCCTAAAACATTGCAATGGCACCGCACTCGCCGTCGTCAGTGCATCTAGCACGCGTTCACTTGTGCTTGCTTCCTTCTAGGCCAACTCTTACTTGCCGTTTAATGCCCGGACGAAGCGATTTCG